TAAACCCGTATATTATATCTACTATTGGAGATTTGGCAGGATTGAACCCGGGACCTCAGGGTTAGAGGTTGTGGTATTAGTATATCTAAAAGACATCGGTGATTGCAAGGATTTGAACCAGGTACCTGAGGATCCAGGTGGTGTGTTAATTTATTCATATGAAAGCCTAAACAATAAGTAAATTTTATAATTTGCTACGATATATATATTTCATTAAATTCAATCCTCATATGACATTTTATGCAGGGAGCCACATTTTTTCATATCAAATATCAGTTTTTCATGTAAAATGAATTATTTTTTGTAAAAATTTTTGTAAATATAAATCTGTTACAGTATTAAGTTACATCTCTGAGGTCGACTCGCGTTTACAGTTCAGCCTTATTTGATTTAGTACATCGACATACAACCTAAATATTTTTTTTCTGTGAAGGCACCTACAATGTACTAAAATAAAATGTACTTGCAATATTGTATATTTTTTATTTTTAAATATTTTATTTTTCTTAAACTATTAATTTGCTAGTTACCAGGAGCCTACTTTATTTGCACCATCAAAATTGAAAAGCTTAAAATATTTTGATGAAGTCAGTCAAATGTGTTTTAAAAACTGAATGCTGAAATAAATTAAGTGCTGAATGCTAATAAGTAAAAATATTGGTATTCACAATATAGTTTTAGTTTATGTTAATTAGTATTTCTGCGATACCTCCTGTATTTACAATTATTTGTATTAGTCGTAAATTTAATTAATGCGTTTAAATACACATTAATCGTTTTATTTTATACTTAAACAGATCACACTTTGTCATGACTAAATATACTATAGGCTCTAAACATTTTCGATCCTTATTTTTGCAATAACTAAATAATCTCTATAAAAGCTGCAAAGGTATATAGTTTAAATAAAAAGCAACCGCTAATCTAAATAATGTGCAAGGGAACAACGTCTCTAAGGGGATAATTGAATTTAATGTACTTAACAACATGTTTGGAGAGTTTTTTGTTACTTTGTTTTACTATTAATTTGGTACATTGTTGACAGAGAAATACAATTTTTAAAAACATTTGGTAAATAAATAAATGTAAATTTAATTATTTACTACTAAGCTATTGTTCCATAAAAACCTCCCTCCTCAAGGTTGCGGTAAAAAAGTGTAGCGTCGATAATCCTTTAAATCATTCCATTTTAAGTATATGTTTAATACATATAAATACCATTTTAATTCTCCTAACAGCTCTAAATTCCAGTTAATTATATAAAAAACAATATAGGTTATACAAAATTTTATGGAACGAAGAATATATTTTCTATTTGTCGTTGGCTCAGTTGGTAGGGAATTGTTAGTTACTTTACACTAAATTAATGCTTACTTGACCAACTTAAGTATTTCATACAGCTTAGTTTAGGTTCTGGGTTAAATATTTATCAATCGAGGTTGCCACTCTGACACCATATGACGTATTGATACTGTGTTGAAAACCAACAAATTAAAAGATTTGTTAAATGGGTTTTAACAGTTTTCTCTGACATCTTGTCATCAGTCACTTTTCATTTGATATATTATTCAGGTCAACCTTAACTTGTAAAATTGAGTCACTAATGCTTTTGGCTTCCAAATTAAATACGTTTTAGTAGTTTAAAAAGTATCAAATCATATGTAAATGAATAGATATGATGATTTCACAAAATGATCGATCATCTAAGCTGAAATCCTGGATGTCTTACAATTTTTGTTTGAAAACAGGTTTCCTGGTGTTGAAATTCTATTTAACTTTGAGTGGCTTGTTGCTATGAAATATAAATATTAAGGTTAAAATGTTGAGATAGTGTTGAGTTTGGTATTTAACATCAAACTTACTGAATGATTTAACAACTTAATTTTTATTTTTAACCAACATTATGATTCAAATAAATTATTGTGTGTATAACATATTTAACAATAAAATTAGGACAGAATTTTTGTTTATTTGCCAGAATTTTTTATGAACTTACTAAACAAACAAGATTGTACACTAAATATTTTATAATATTTTACAAACTCCAGCCTTTTAAAAATTAATATAAATACTCTTAATCAGCTTACCCAAAGTCTAATCAAGTACTGATAATTCTCTACATGATGCCTATATAAATTATGAGTTTGGATTTTTTCACACGTTTTACACATGCAACTCATTAGAAGTATCTTGTTGGTCGGTTTCAATAATAACACTTCAACGATGACCCTTACTTCTTGGTTTCTATAACAAAGGAAAACTCATTAAATCATCGGTCTCCATGACGGCATAAAGACTGTTCTTACCTATTGGTTTCCATCACATCAATAGAAAAATCCAAATTCGTTTTCGACAGCCAAAAGAAAACTAAAATTAATTAGTCCCCATTACTAATAAGAATACTAAAACTCTCGATCCATTAATTCATTTTGATTTCATTTCATTTTCTTGAAATGCCTTAGTTCACAATGGTACATTACAGATTAAACTATAGAATGTACTTTTTTTCTTATTCTGTACTTAGTTGTTTACCATTAAATTGAATATTTTTCATGTTGTTTTATTAATAGTAATCTTAATATTAATCTTCGCTAACCACCATTAATGTTTATAACCTATCGAATTGTTGTATTGATTCCATTTAAAAATGATATGGTGCTCGTTCTCTTAGATTTTTTAACATATTTCTTCTTCTGCATGCTATACTATTTACTAGTTAGTTTTATATTTGTCACTTGTTTTTCTATTCATTTTGATTTACTTACAATTAATTTTACACATAACATTTACACCTATAAATGATTGGGAAGCGAGCTGGTCTAGTAGAACGGGACTTCCATCCAGAAGGTCCCTGGTTCGAATCCCACCAATCACAAACAGGTTGCATTATTAAGTGATAATGCCACGACACCCTCTAGAAACAGCCTGAAGTAATATGGAAAACGATTCCGGTCCAGAACCTTGAGGTAAAAGAGTAATAAGCGAATTATCAATACACAATTGCATCGTTGGACCATACAAGATAGTTAACGTTTGATGACATCACCAGCTTATTCTTATGAAATGCTAACTATAACATATAGCAGGAGTAACATTATATTTTAAACACACAATAGCACTGTCTCTTGAAGGTGTTGTTACTCACTTTGTTATTGAAAGACCGAGTTTCCTGCTATTGTTTTCCCACGTGTGCGACCCACTCACGCACTTCCTGCTATATACACGGTAAAGTGTGGCTTAGTTGTTATTGAAATATACTTACAGTTTATTGTTTAACAATGTGTCAGCTGTTTCTGACTTTCGACTAAGAATTTGTCGGTTTATATAGATGGATGCATAATTCACTTAGCTCTCTCTACATGTAAAAGAGGTTTCGATTTGAAAACTACATAGTTTGTATAGTTTCGTAGACGGTTATAACGTAATTAGATTTTAATCTGTTTTACCCACGGGATAATTTGCAAAAACTACTGGTTTTGGTTTGAAGGGAAGGTGGGTTGGACCCACTCTAATATTTGGGATCGACTAGGGCTTGCTAACCACTTGTTAACAAACCCAATTACTTGAATTAATGAATTAATTTACTGAGATGGTTTGAACAAATGCCCTTGATAGGAAGCTACTACTGCAGATGCCAAGGTAATTCATAGACCCGAGCAACGATATAAATAATTGAGTTCTTTACATAAACGGATCTCTTTACATGAACCCGATTTTTTCGTTTTAATTTACCCAGATGCCCAAAACAATCTCCCGTATACATTTGTAATTTTAATATGTACACCCATTAAAATAATAGCTTTAGTAAAAACCATCCAATTTAAATTAAATTCCGTATAAACATGAAACACTAAGTTTATTCAAACGAGCAAGCCAACCAATCAAACTATAGGAGTGAGTATTTAGTAAAATATAAATTTTATATTTTCACCAATTCTATTGCGTTAATTTTAAGTTTGCTAAAGATAACCTGCCTGTCCCAAAGATATTCGACTTTAAGCTAGAGGTACAGTTCAAACTTAAACATAATATCAGTCCCACGATTTTCTTTGCACCCTCCCCTCATGCAAAATTTACCATTACCATAGCTTCATATCAAGCCATTTATCTTTTACTGATTTTCAGACACAAAATCAATCAGCATTCAGATTACAAACCTATAAACACACAGTAAGCATGTGACAGCGTGGTGATATCATACGCGCTGAAGTATGTTGGCACCATTGTCTGTAAATAAAACAGCTGTTTAGTGTCCATTGTTGCAGCACGTTTTGATGTTATGATGACGTATGATATTTGGATGTAACCTAAATAAAGTAGAATAATTTAACTAAATTGAGACTAAGTGTTACCACTATACGTTGCCAAATCCGTTTCCTGCTTCAGATAGCCTTCTAGGTCCTTCATTGAAGAGTCTTAGTTAGTTAGACAAGTTTGAGTAATATATCAAACTTTCTTAATTCCTGTGAAAACATATGTTTAGTTTTTAAAAAATTTTTACCAATCTCCAAATAATCTAGAAGGTTTAAGTATCGACAAACATAATTTTTCATTATCCTACTCCTAATAGAAATGATAATTTTAAAATTAAGAATATGAATAAAAGTGTGAAAACTAAGGCAAATCTATTTTGTACCATGTGTTTTTGAGTAGTGTGCTGGTCTAGTGGTAGAGCATAGCTTCCGTCCCAAGGTTGAAATCCCTAAAAAAAACCAATAGATTTTCGGTGTCGCGACAATATAGGCCTAGCCTGTAATGTGTAAACTGTTCTGCCTATAGTCTATAGCGGTATTAATGAAGGTAGAATCTGAAAAAATAAAAAATAAATAACTTCCCCTGGGTTTACACCTTGTCAAAATGTATTTGGGTCTCATTGACAACTCCCTGGCTTATCCAAGCATACAATCCGTGGAGACATGGATACGTTTGTAAAGTATTCCAAGAGAATGCCGAACAGACACGAAGATCACAACACATCTCACAGCGTTGGAGACAGCCTTTTACCATGTACCGCTGCGTCTATCTGAAGGCTCTGGTCGAGCTGTGGTCGCGTTCCTCAACACTGAACTGACGAGTTCTGCCCATCCCGTGGGAACGTAACTGTCAACAGAATCGAACTCTAATTAGTGATAAGCTGTCCAAGAGCTCAGAATCTTATTTTATGGTACTTTGGTATTATACCGACCGCACCTAAATTGGTTGCCTTTAGGTTAGGTTACGGATAGGTTAGGTTAGGTAATCTTCCGGTTATCTTATCCTAAATATACGAAAAAAGCGTACACATCGAGTCTTACGAAATAAGCGTACAGGATCAAGTTTTGGCCGATAACGAGGGTAATCTATGACGTGAAGACATTTAGACAGGCGAAATATGCGTATAACCTTTAGGTCTTTTTAAAACCATTGAACCTAACCTAGGAGTGATAACCTACCTCACTTTAGGTGTGGTTGGTATAATACTAAAGAACCAATTTTATTGCCTGAAATACATTTTTCAGGGTCACTAAAGGGAAAAGACATTTTGTAAATTCCCTTTCTTATTACTTCACAAAATTATCTACATAAGGTTGAATTAAGTTTTATGTCTAAGTAATCAACAAGTCTGTTATAAGGTGGTCGATTTGTAGGTCTCACCAATATTTTCTTTAATAGAAATAAGCGTTGCGAACCTAAAATAGTAGCATTGAATTTCCATTATCTTAAATACAACTCACAAAGAAAATTACAAAAGTTTTGTTTAAAATGTAATTTTATAAACAGGTTATCACCGAATTGTAATGTTTTTAAAGTAAGGCTAGCATATACAGGCTCAATATAGGTGTCAACAATATTATTCGAATCATTTAGCTTTCGAAACAACGAAATTCAAACACTACATTAATTGTTTGCTGGTTTCCAATAGACAGTTTTGATTCATCATTGTATTATATAATTTAACATTCTTTATTACAGGGTGTTCACTTAGGTAGGAAATAACGTGTGTATAAACTCTAGGGTGAAATCTTAGTATTTTCTTGACCTATCAATAATGTAAAACTCAAAGTAGATTACCAAAATTTCAGCTTGGACAATTTTTCCTCTTCAGACTATACTATGTTGATAATTAACACTGCCCAATTAATAAACAATGTTAATTAGTGTCTACTACACATGAAATTGGTGGTTGTACTTTGTAATTATTAGCCAATTAGGCTGATAGCATTGAACTTTTTACATTGACATTCGCACGTTGTTAAAGGTCTACCTTAATTAACTTCATATCTCCTCACAACTATGTAAAGGTACTCAGGAAGGTATGTGCGGAGTTATTAGTATTAATTTCCATTGCGTCTAATTTATTACTATGTTTTTGTGCATTAGAAAAATATATAATTAAATAGTAAGTGGCTAATAAATCTAAATACTTAAATAAATCACCAAGAAGTTGACATTAAATGTAATTTTGAAAGTACATATAATTAATTGCTTACTAGTTGAGACACTCTTAAATAACGATTACGAAACCTATTAAGAGAAAGATTTACTACTTCATTCACTACTAGTTTGCATTTTATAAGGGTGTGTTTTTAAGTATGTATAGCCTACAAAAAAATATGTTAATTACTTATTTAATTTTCACTAATCATAAGTGATACACTAGCTTATTTCTTATATGGGAGATTTGTAGAAAAATACACACCCTATTACCTTAAAATATATTGTGCAATCATTGACTTTTGAATTACATCTATTCAAAAAGTACACAGTTGTATGTACAACATTTAGTGTACCACCTTTTCCCCCTTAAATTATGATACTTTTTTTTATACAAATAGGCGGTATAGGCCCTACCAATCTATAATGTAATTAGTTTTGGCTCTAATGTACAATCTAGAGTTATACTCAGTTTGGTTCAATAGTTAAAGTATTCGAAGGAAATCTGTAGTTGACAAAGATCAAACTAAAGTACGATTATTTTTTTATAGAAAATTGTCATTTGACGTTGGGAGTAAGATGTCCACTTAAATTAATGCCTCCGTACAATACATAGTCAAGAGTATTTGTGAAACACACTAGCCGAGTTCAGCGTACTCCAACAGCTGTTATTTTCTCCAGTTTTTCGCCTAGACTCCGACGGAGAATATTAAACTCTCGTTAAGCAGTTTTCAATATTTTTAGCACCCATTCTCCGTCTTTATCGCTGCTGTCTTAACAAGGAGGACGCTCAGTTCAACAAAAGAATGTTTATTGCCAAGAAAGGTGTATAACTTCTTCGCTACCAGAGCGGTTTAAAACTGCAGCTATTACAAGTTACAGCTGGTAATAAGGCATTTTTTCGAAGCCACCTTACACGGAATGCCTCTTTAGTAATTGCACATGTAACGGAGGTTATTTTACTTGCTTTGCAACTAGGTTAACTTCAGCTAGAATTTGTATTGTCTTCCCAAAGAGGTGTACTTTTGTTTTCGACACGTTTCTTTGTTAGTTTTGTCAATTTGTGATGTGTTTTGGGATTAATGTAAGGCTACTTTGTCGTACTTACCATTTAGGTATTGTAGTGATTTGATAGCTTTTGTAATACAATATTAACTATTTGAAGCTGAATGTTTGAAGTTACCTTGCTTCGACGATTGATTCATTTTAGTAGTACACTGTCAAGACTTGTTTGAAAATGATGGTGGTTGGGTTAGTAATATACTGTGTCTCATTATCAAATTATAGTTAGCCTTGTTTCAAAAAAGTATTACTATGCCTCACATTTCTAGATTATCATAATAAATATATCATGATAAAATATTTTCTTCTAAGTACACGACTATGTACAGTTACAAGCTGTTTTTGACATAATTTAATTTATTTGCATTTTTGTTGTGAAATACAGGTTCAACAAATAATTTATTTTAATTACTTTTAGTTTATTTTTTTGTACAAGCAATACAACATTTACTACATAAAAATAAATCTTTTGTCAATATAATGATTTTAGCATAATACTTAAGTGACTAGCATAAATTATTTAACAAAGCTTATAGGCTATGTCTTACTCTAAAAAAATATTTACCATTCTATACCATCATAACATATTTTAAACCCATAGTTTTCATCTTCACTTTCGTAACTCCGGCCGGCCATCTGAAACAACGTAGATATTGGTGTATTGATGTCCAGAAATATACTAAGATTATATACCCCTTGTTGAAGGTTATACTAACAAGAACTTCCTTTGTTGAATTAATAATGTAATTTTAAGGCAAGATATTTTGTTTCACCAAACTTAATGTCACCAAAGGATCTAATGTTGATTTGGTACTTAAATTTTGTAACCTAGAATGTATAAAAATCAGGATTAGTTAATTTATACAACAAATCCTTTAAATAATGTACCATAACAGAAAGTTGTATAGAGATTAAAACACTTTTTTAATTTTAACCAGTTTCATGTTACTTAAATGTCTGGAATGAAATACTTTGAGCAATATTAGATTAAGGATATTATTCTGGTAGGCCCAATTAAATATGACTAAACTATAATGAAAATATTACATGTATACAAGCATCCAAATGTTACTTTTTATACATAATAATATCTTTTTTATTGATAATGGTATCATGAATAATTATCGTCAGGAATATAGGCTTAATTATGGCAAAAAGATTAATACAATTCTAAGGAAACCCCTGTAAAATATTGCTCTTTCACAATACTAACGTAACGTAATGTTTTGTTTTGGTTCATTTATGTAATTTTATAATTGTAGGATCCAAGGATGTAATAAAAGCAATAGATCATTTGCTGTTTACAAAACAATTTCTAACTCCAATAATATTAAGACTATTTATTCGCCATAAGAAAATACATGTTTACAACAAAAAAGACATTTTTAAGTAAATATGTCTATATATTAGGGTTAAAATTGCTGTTCCGAGTCATTTGGACTTCGAAAGAACTATTTTATGTGTATATGTAATGTTTTTATGAAAATAAATGTCTATTTTTAAATACAGAGATTATTTTTTCACGCATAACGATGCTTAAAAAAATTCAATTGTTATTACAAGTGTTGAAATAGTAAAATCTCTATGAATTGATGCAAAATAAAGAAGGTTTTTATATTGGCATGGATACATTTTCTCCAAATCAGATTTTAAAGTTTTATAAAAAGTAACAAACTGATCTACTTAATGTGTATCAGGAAACCCCTTACCTTAGGATACCTTGTTACTTGGAGTTTTCTTTAGAAAACTATTCTAAACATAAACTGTATTAGTATTGAATAAAGTAGGTATCTTGATTATTAATTAATTACTCTGAGATAATATTCTTTTCTTGAATTCCCACAAATAAAAGCTATAAACAATAACAACTAAATTAAATCTTACCATTCTAATTCGCCAAACGTTGCTAACCAGACTCTGTCATCAGAGGTATGTTTTCATAGGTAGAAGCTATTAAAAACATGGTTGGAGGCAGTGTAAGAGTCCATGGCAGAAACATCTTCTTGACAACCCAAAGAGGAACTTTCCAATGAGTTCAAAGTTATGCCATCATAGCTGTCTGAAGAGATTAAAGGGATGGTACAGTCCGCAAAATCTTCGACAGACTTAAATGAGGACACCTGTTTCAATCAATCAATCAATCAATCAATCAATCAATTATTGAGATGGGGACGCCACCTAGGAGCGTATTTTAACCCAAATATGAGTGAAGGATGAGTGTAGAATGGTGTGTGATGACCTGTGTAGCTTTGTTACTGACTAAGATCAGCGGTTTCATTAGTCAGGATCATTTATTTAAAGCCCAATGATCAGGAACAGCTGGGTCCAGTTTCGAACCATCAAAAAGCTACTAACCTTTCTCAGGATCGAACCGGCGACCTTTTGATTACTAGGCGAGCACTATAACCGCTCAGCTACCCAGATGCTCTTCAATGCTGAAATATACCTCATCGCCAACCTCAAAGTTGATATCTTCGTCATCTTCTCTCCGTTGCACTCCTCCGAGGCCATTTGGGGAGTCACTCTTCTCAGTGTCTCAAAAGCTTCGTTGATTTTCCTCATTCGAACCCTCTCCCTCTCATTGGCTGTTTTCCTCCTGTACTTGCTGAGGGGTTGGGATCTCAGTTTCGTCTTCCTGCAAGTTTTGGCTTCTGGATGTGAAGTTTTAGGTTTTCTGATACCACGAGGTCGGAGTGAGTAACTCTTCAGGGGGAAATTTTTGTTTGAGTCCATTGTGCCCCTATTTGTACTTTCTGTCGATGAAGAACGATTTTACACATATAAGGTATTAGATTTGTCAAAAATTGTTACTAGGACTATCCGTTATGCATCATAACTATTGAAAATTACGAAGGTTAAACGATTAATGTTTGTGTAATTAAGCTAACCTATATTTAATTACTGTCAAAACATATTTCATTTAAAAATAATCTGAAATAGTTTACACGTAACTCAAATGTTTTAGTAAATCCCTTGGTCTGATGAATGTAATTTAGCAAGTCACGGTAAATTCACAATGTTTTGAACTGGAACATCCATCACAATCTACCCTATTCACACTTTCCAAGGTGTCGTCATGAAATTTAAGTATAATGTTTTCACCTACTATATTTTTTTTATTTTACGAGCTAAATAATTTGTTAGTATAATTTATCTTGCTTTGTTTTCAGGCACCAAACAATTGACCGCTTTTTGTGTTGCGTGTTACTCATCGATATCAAAACACGTGCTGAAAACAGGCTGAGTAGCATCGCTGACGCCCGTTCCCTTCGGTACACTCACCGCGACTGACTCGGCAACTGGCGACTCGATATATCGATGATCACTGCAATCGATAATCAATCGATACCAGTCATTCGATATTGGACGGTAAATATGTTTGCCATGATTTATTCTCTCAAACCAAATACGCAACGTCCATAAATAAAAGAATAATTAAAAATGTATTCAATGCAATACAATATTAATCAATGTAAAAAAATTTGTTTACCCTTTTGTTGAAAAAAAATATTGATAAGTTCAGTTCATTGTTCCTCATTGTGAACAAAGGTTCTCTTTCTATTTTTTACATATCTTCATCTTTTCACACCGTTAAATAAAATATATGGAAAGACTTTCTAGTAAGACATAAGTCGTTTGTTACGATCCCTCATTATTACAGTTGTTTTTCTATATTTTACGTGGAAAAGATTTCTTTACAATTATCTTAGATCCTCCAAATCCTCAAAATTAGAAATTTCAATCAATTGTAAACCAATTTTATAACTGTAAAACTATAACTGTTTACATTATCTGTCAACATATCTTATTTGCAACCTTCAATTTCATGAAATTGGATAAATATATAGGATGAATCTCTGGATAGGCAATACAAAATTATAAGATAATAATTGTTCTGTATTTTGATAGGAAGCATAATATTGTCCATGAGAAACTGATGAAAAACTATAAGGCCTAGTATAAAGGCTAATTCCGTATTCATAAAGCTTAATATACAATTTTTACGAAGACTGTGGTAATTAAATGCTATTTCTGGAGTAAAACAATTCTCAACGAACATCTTGGGTCAAACGATTGGCATCAATTACAACCTCACTTATACGACTATTAATAACCTCCGCATATTGCGTCATATCACTAACCACAAACCGCTAACTACAGTATCGATGCGTACAAGCGACAGGTCGATGTATTGAGACTGTATTATCCCCCCCCCCTCCCCCACAGGCCCATGTAAGGAAGGTTGTCTGTGTGTCGAGGATTTCAGCGTTTTGAGCAACACACACCGCCAGGCGCCACTCCGCCCTACTGACCTTACCTGAACCTCAGCGATTTATGCATCATAACACCCTTGATGTGTTGCACATCTTGAATGCAGTGACCTTGACCTCGGATAAAATCTGTACCTTCACTAAAAGCTGTGACAGGTTACTGATTCTCGATGTATAGTGTGTAATATATAGCTCCTTAGCAAAATAACCATCACAATGCAGCCAAAAACAACAACCAAACCGCAACAATTCCAACAACCCATCCGACCGAACAAGCCAACCAACTATAACAACAACAACCAATCCCAACAATCCAACCAATCCCAAAAACCTAACCAATCCGACCAAACAAGCCAACCAATCCCAAAAACCCAACCTATCCCAACAACTCAATCACGTCTAACAGCCAATCCGACCAAACAAACCCACAACAATAACCACAAAACCGATCCCAAAAACCCAACCAATCCGACCAAACAAGCCAACCAATCCCAAAAACCCAACCTATCCCAACAACTCAATCACGTCTAACAGCCAATCCCACCAAACAAACCCACAACAATAACCACAAAACCGATCCCAAAAACCCAACCAATCCCTACAAACCAACCAATCCCAACAAACCAACTAATCCCGAAAACCAATCCGACCAAACAAGCCAATCAACCAATCGAAAATACTAACAATTATCAATATTATTAGTATCTATCAATCATCAGTTAAGATGGAGACGACACCTGCTTTCTACGTTCTATTTTTAAAGTAATAGTCAACGGATTTTCTATGAGCATATAGCATTAGTTTAACGAGTATTTAGGTTTGCTGCTACTGGGAATGTGAAGTGAGTTCTTAGTGAAATGTTAATAGTTTAATCAAATTTAAAATTACTACATTTTTCAAGTTAATATATTTTTCAAATTAGTACATTTTTCAAATCTGATAAAAATATGTTCATAGACAAGCAAACTACAAACTACAAAATTTTACTTAGTCTCCATAACAGATTTTTTTTCTCCTTATCCCATTAGGTGCATAACAACGCTTCCATTTACTAAATTATTAGTTTTTCTAAGTTGCAAAGTATTACGTTTTTAAGGTCAAAATTGGTAAAACCAACTTTTATCCAATACAACCCCCAATAAAGCCCAGTTTTCATAATCCGATCATCCTGGTTCCTGAACTCGTTGGTATAAACGTATTGTTTACAATTTGCACTAAAATTCATCAAAATCCGGATAATTTTTACTCAAACAATCGCACTAACAGTTATCATTTTGTCATACAGTTTGTCATTTGTCAAAAATCAAACACCCAAACTACGTTGAAAATCCACTTCATCAATAAATCTTGATCAGACGACACGTCTAAGCGACAGCGATTACCACGCGCGTCGGTCCGATACAAATGGGACACAAATGAGAAATAATTAACACCGTCTTGATAAGCAGAACCGTAAATCATCGGATAAGGATTTAATTGACTTTGGGCTCCTCCAGCAGTCTTGCATCCGTGACGCACTTTTGATCTCGGAACGATTAGTGATGCGTGATTGGTGGCAAATTGACGTTAGGTAACCGTTAGATGGTTGCATAGTATTTGGTTGGTGGAGCTTTAAAACTGTGTGGTGATATTGAAGGTGGTTGAAAGTTTTGAAAGTATTATTTTTGTAGTGCGTAGATCAAATTTTTGGTATGACTCTAACTTTGAACCCTAGGGTAATTTTGGCTCTTGTGATAAATGAAAGACTATTAAACTTTTAAATCGTACAGTATCGATACAATAAGATGTCAAACTCCTTACAATCAATCAAAGACTATTTAACCATTTCTCTGAATGAATAAAGGATATTTCAACATTTACTTTTAATAAACAAACTATTATCAAAGATGACTTTTATTGAATAAAGAAACTTTCAAATTTTACCTTAAATCTATAAAAAAGTTGACTTTTGTATTAAACAAAAAGTTTCTCACTTTGAATGCATCAAATAAAATTTTAACTCCAAATGGTTTAAAATAAGTCAACATTAACTTTAATCCTTAACTAATAAAGGAATATTGTAATATCCTGTAAGATCTATAACCATATTCTGTTTGATCGTTTGATCATTTGATCTCTTGTTTTGAATCAATGCGGGATGACTTTCCAACCAAAAAAGATAATAGGGAGAAATTAACCATATTACAAGAGGTCTTGAGTGAGTTTTAGTGGTAAAGTTTATTTTAAACATTCAAGTTTCTGCTTTAAGCCTATAACTACATCATTGAAAAGTATTTCAACAGTGTACAAAATACTTCATAATGAATTGATCGGTCTTTATCAAAATGTTAATTTGTCCACGGTCTATGAATCGAAGTATGATACAATTTTCAAAAACGCATAAGTGAATAGCCTAATGCTAATACATTTGGAACATATTATGATATTGTTTCGGATTCTTCATTATCAGGTGAGTTATCACAAACGGACCTTTATATGAAAACTTAAAACCTCTCAAGGACGTTAAGAATTTCTTATTTTTTTCAAATCCAAATTTAAATTTATTTATTTAAGACATTACATGTATGGCCTCACAAAGTTGACAAAATTGGTCTCCGAGGACCAATGGAATCATAAGAATAACAAAGTTTACAGTTTTTTTCGTTTTTTTTAAGTAAGCCAAAAAAAAAAATCATGATACTAGTTCTAAGGCTGTTTGTGGCAGTCATTAATTATATAGAGTATTTTGGCAGCAAGACTTAACTCTAAAAGCATTAAAAATAAGTATAACAATAAACAATATCAATAACATTAGAAGAAGTAGTAACGGAGCTGTTATAACCAACAATATAGTACAATTTAGTAAATGAAGTTTATAAAACCCCTTAAGTACAGGGGTTCACAAATTTAGATTAGTTTCCTGGATGTGGAAAACATTCAAACCATTAAACCTGTTAACATTCCCAACACATTTAAATTCACCAAGTGTATCTTACCATAGTTATGTAGAATCTCTTCGCAGACCTAGTTCACCATGGACGGTCTACAATAACCTCAAAGTTACAGTTTTACTTTGTTGCATCCATTGTATCTTTATGTTCCCTTCACTACAAAGAAGAGTCTCTAGTCACTATACAAAACTGACTTTATCGTTTAGTGTAAATCAGTGTAATTTATGGCTCTTCGTGAAGTTCTCGTAGAGAAATCGGAGTTTTACTTGCAATTACAGACAAAACCTTGTGTACTTTGGGTGATGAAGTTGTTGTAATATATTTACGAGTGGTATTTGTTTCATTTTAAATATCTACCAAAATATATGTTAAATGTGTGTATTTAAATTTGTATTTCCAAGTTTTTTGCTCTGGAATTCAAATACCAAAATTAACAATCAGTCTTGAATTTCATACTCAAAATTATTTATTAGGCCTTGACTGTAATTAAAAAAAGGTGGTTTAAATCGTCTTTGTTCCCACAGATGTACCA